CATATAGCAGTTTGCGGCCTTTCCTTACATATAGGCAGTTCGAAAAGTAGCAAAACTTTATTACAAAAATTTGTCTTTAAAATCGGCACTCTTAATCCCTACGGTATCAACGAGCAACCTTCATTCAATTTATTCTTGTCTTCTCGTCACCATATTCCCACCAATAGCGTAGCTCCATATTTTGTAGACAAACCCATACACACACCATAGTTGCTACAGTCGCTCTCGCACTAACGCTCAAAGCGTCAGCTTTTAAACTCTTTACGGAGGTTAATTAAGTTATCAACTCACTTAATACTCCTGAATTACCCTTAGTTATTTTTTCTTGTTCTTGTTTCAAGCACGCTGTCATGTATTCGGCAAGTGACTGGATTCTTTTTGTTGCTATTTTTCTCGCGATTTACGATTTACCTTTAGCAATATTCGAATATTAGGGCTACGTTCAATCGGCACCGGACGAATTTTCGACCGGCCAAAAATTTCGACCAGATATTCTGTTCACGTGGAACCGTGCGAAAGTTTCGTTTTGTTCAGATGGAACCAATAACCGTATAAAGTTTGTGACATTCGTCAGTGGTTATACCGTCTACTCATGCGCAGAAGGTTTCTTAATCCAGTGTTTTCGCTGCTTGGACTTCTTCGATTTTCAGATAGATGAGCGACGTTTTTTAACTTGTTTAACACAACATCGCCTATCTGCATGGTAAGCTTGGAACGTCCTAGACGTTTTCGAAATAATATTATGCAATAAAGCTGTAAATATTACCGAGCACCGCAGTAAATATACCAACGCGTTCCATTTTGGCATAAAATTGTACTCATGTCATTTGGTAAATAGAATAAGAGACATGGCAAGTTTTGAAATCAGTAAAGAAATAGAGAAAGATTTTCTCTTTGTCCCACGCTAATGACAAGACGAAAAACATCCTTCTCGATTTCCTCACCGAGCTCAAAACTTACCATCTCTCATATTCTATATACTGTTATCATTTTAGGATATAACACGATTATTAACAGGAGCAGCAAATGATTTGTTTCTACATGCGGCATGAAAGCTAATTCACCGCTGACCACTCGTATTTCTGACATTTTTTCTTCCCCGGTTCGTCAACCGTCATGTGGTAACTCCCATGTTATTTTACTTAGATACCACGCATCCATGTAGCCGCGCCTCCACAGTACAAAAGTTTCTAAGTTTAAGACTTTCACACCATGGCGGTCAAATTATTGACTGCAGCGGCTAAAAATTCGTCCTCAATTTTGGTGTGCAAACTCTTGGGCGTTCGAATTTTCGTACGTTTGGCGTGGTTCCATGTGAACGAAACGTCTAAACGCACGAATCTCCCACGGTCGAAAATTTGTCCGGTGCCGTGTGAACGTAACCTAAAAATAATGAAGTTGTGTGCTAATTACCGTTGAAAATAATTGACTGATTATTAACTCTTTCAATTCTTATTGAGGTACATAGTCCTGAGCTGCGAAGCACGCGGTCAGCGTGGTCCTTCAAGTCGGACCAAGCAGCACTACACAGCACATCTACAGAAGCAAAACAAAATAAAGTTTATAGATTGAAAAGTGGATATGATAAAAAAGACGAAATGGAAACAAATGATACAACAAATACAGGGCACCTAAGGGGAAGAAAAAGGGGTAACCAAGGGGATACAAGTCAACTTTTATCTCCCCGCTGGAGACCACTGGTTACAAAATGATTTGCGTCATGCTTGTTGGACTGTGTGCAAATAAAATCAAATCGAGTTGTGTGCTAGTTTACATTTGCTGTATGTGATAGTAAATGTTCTTTCCTCCTTGCTTTTTGTAATTTGTTTGTCTTTTGATTTTAAATGCTTGGTGAAGCCATGTCAAGAGGTATAAAAACAATAAGATTTAACTCGGAGCAACTTGGATATATCACCGTCTCTGGAAGGATTCTTAATTTAACAGAAGCCAGCGGAATATTTACAACTTGCAATTTTTTCTTTCGAGGACATCTCGAAACGTTGTCAGCAGAGTCTCTCTAAAAGAATTGCGGATGAAACCGACCATTTTTTATTATTAGCTGTTACTAAATTGCGTAGAAAACAGGAAATAAAGTCTTAGGCTAGAGAAAATCCAGTGAATCCATTAAAAATTGATCTACTTTTCTCTCATGTTTAATTCTAAGCTAGTCAACCGAAATGCCATTTACTGGTTAGAATAAGTAGGGTATGAACGAAATGACATCGCGGATTCCTTTAGGGCACGTGTCACACATGAAGCTAGTTATGGCCTTGTTCCCTCGGAGTCTCTGTTGTTCACAGGTAAGGGCAAAGAATTCCTAGCCTAAGGCTCAACTCCTTACAAGGACTCAGAATTTTTCTTTGTTCCACGCTCGCGGACAAGAAGAAAATTGAAAAAACCTTTGTCTATGTAACCTTTTCTCTTTGTTTGCAAGTTAATCTACACGGAGTATGTCAAACACTTCTGAGCTTAATTCTTTATTTAGAAAACAACCATTTAACGGAAATGCTTTCGATCTTCAATCCGGCTTTAATTAGAGTGTAAGTTACAACCCCTCGTTTTTCAGGAAAGAACAGACTATATTGGAAGAGTTATTCACCATTTGAATGTAGTCAATGTAGTGAATGACTATCGAGAACGACTCCCCACCGTTTTCCTATCTTTGACGCAACCTCGCCTGGACCAGCCAATACTGCAAAGATTCTTGAGCGCTCTTTGCCTTTTTTCAGCTGCCACTGGTTTCCAAGAAGGAAAAGAAAAGATCGAGTCGTAGAAAACTCCCACAAGCCTTTTCTTAATAAGCTGTCACGTAAACGGCAGGTGAACGATTTTTATCTTTTTTTTTTTTTTTTTGCACTAAATTCTGTTGCAATTTGATGATAATGAATTGAAATTCGAAATCACCTAGCCTGGAACAAGGTAATTTGGTATTATCAACTTAGTTAATAACGTAAATTGTCCACCGTAAAGAGCTTCAAAGCTGACGTTTCGAGCGTTAGTCACTCGTCAGAGCGAATGGAGGAATTGTGGGTTGTGTGTGTGTTTATATGCAGAAAATAGAGATACACTTTGGCGATTTGAAAGATAAATTTTTGTTCTAAAGTTTTTCGGCTTTCGAACTGCTTAGATGCCTTTCTAATTGCTTTCGAACTGCTTAGGTGCAAGGAAAGGCTGCAATGAGATTTTAGTCTAACGACTGGTTTGGATGCGTCCTTGTCATTTCTTTCTACGTTGTGAAGGTGTTCTCAGAATTGGTCACCTTGTCGTCTTCCTGTCTCGCCAATGTATAACTTTTTGCGATAAGTGCAAGTAATGTAGCAAATAACCAAATTTGATGAAAACAGATGAAACCATAGCAAATGTCTTGAGGGGCATCTATGGGAGATCTGATGCCTTTTTGAGAAAAAAAGTAGCTTCAAATATATGGAAAGCAAAATCAGTGGTAAACTTTTATTTAAAGAAACTAGAAGTCACCAAGAACATTCTCAATCCAACTGTCAGAGGATATAATTAATAAAAAACCTGTAGTTGAAATGTCCGTCGACGTTCATTGACTTAATGTTTGACAGAAACCTCTAGCTTTTCATACGGGTCACATCTAATTGTAATTGAACCTGAAAAAGAAAAAGAGAGCTGGAAATATTATATGGCCAAACCAAGGTTTGTTTTATACAATTTTTGCCTTCATAATTTCTTTCATTGAGTTTTTACCCTTTCCTCTCAATTCTAAATGGTTCAACTCAAAAGTGGAAGTTGGTTACTGGAGCGAGAAATTGCATTCGGCGTCAATTTTTTTTCGACCATTTTCCTATTTTCAAAGTGAATTTGGAAATAAGACGAGGAACGGTTTTTAAAATAAACATGACAAGTGAGTGGGGTCTATATTTTTTCTTCACATTAGATAATGTAAGAATGTTCCCCCTAAGTTATCAAATTAACTTCAAGACTGTACATGTGTTAAACACAAGGATCGTAGTATGAATTCGATTCTGACGGATAATTAAAGACATTCTACCTCCGATCGAGTAAATATTTTAATCAAAACCTGTAACGCGCTGGTTCATAATGGACAGTAGACATGTCATATCGAACATTGTAAGTTTATAAAGATGCGTTTTAAGTAGTGATATATATTTTTATTTTCATTACGCAAATTTCATATCGAGGTAAGAAAGGAGAACGATTTTCAAAAGAAAAACACTAATGGCCGTGCTATTGAAACCAGGAACATTCATATCATTACATCAGTTCCACAGGTCATACACTATTTAGACAAGAAAAAATTTCCATAATTTTGTCTCCTTTTATTCTAGCAATATGAAGTAAATCGACCATTCCTATTAAAAATTTTCGGATATTGAAAGTATGTTTAATTTCATCTTTGTTTTTCGCATAAAAATTTAACTTTGGGCGAAAAAAATTATTTGCGAAGAAAAACACATGATCAATCGATTTAAGACGTCGAGTCAATCATACGAAACAGTTGAATCTTTTCCATACGTTTTCCTTGTAACTGTCCCCAGTACTTTATTAACAAAATCGAAGCTTCATCGGCTTTACTGACCCCCTTTTGCGTCCATCCGTGATTGCTACGGTGAAATTTTTTCCAGTACTTTCCTGTAGGGGAACTTAGAATTTCTTCTTCGTTCTACAAACTTGACAAGACGAAAAACATATTTCTCTGGTTCAGTACCGTATACAAAATTTACCATCTTACTCATTCTATTTTTTACATGTATAATGTAAAAAAAATTGGATTAGACAATCCAAACATAAACATATATTTATTTTTTTCGATTACAAGTTTTTTTCACCATAATAAACACATTACTGGTGAGGTGTGGTTGGCTTTTCGATTCTCTATTCAACCTTTGATCATTAGAAAAAAACAAAAGATCTAAATCTGACAGCTTATATTAATAAAACTTTCCTCTCTTCTTGCCGCCGTAATTTCATAAATCAGTTTTTCAGGATTGATACATATGTAAGTCAGAAGACAGTTAATTCAATGGGCAGCACAATGCTTGGCTAATTGTCTGCTTCACTGCTTGTCTCATCTCACTGATTCTCCAGCAGTAAAGGACGGGGTTTAAAGCCGAGTTAAAATAAACTAAAACAAGTGCCACTCCCCAGGTGACGATTAAATTCGATGAGTATGTATTACTAGATGCAATCCCAATTCCCGATACACCTATTGGCACGTAACAACTCACTAATGCTAACTGCACCCATAGTGCACTATACACTGCCCTTTTGTATCGCGCCATGTTTAGTGCATTTGGTTGATTGTGCTGTTGTTGTATAAAACCTTGTACTTGAGCCTGGTGATGACTGAGAACGCAGAATATCTTTGTGTACGAGGCCACTGAGATTATTAGGCAAGATGGTATAATTATACGGCTGTACCACATATCGATTCGGTAGTCAAAAATATAGCATAAACAAGCGACGACAAACAGTACCCAAAAGATTGCTACCATGCAGTAGGTGCGCTTTAAAGTTACAATTTGTCTGTATCTTAGCCCCGACAACAGGGCGAGAAGTCTGTCCACGCTTATGGCCGCCGTTGTCAACAAAGACACTAAACATAATGCATAGGTTGTTATGTAAGTTGCCTCGTATGCGAATCGACAAATATACCACTCTTCGTGAACTAAGGACATCCAATAACTGGCAGTGAAAGGCTGGCTGACAATACTGACTAACAGATCAGTTGCTGCCAAACAACGATACAAGACTTTGGACGGCGGATGAAGGGAAGATACTTTGTGAAGGGCAACAAGGATGAGAAAGTTCCCAAAAAGTGCCACGAGCGAGAGGAGTATGTGAACTGCCGTGAAATAAATTGATTGTTGTTGCAATCCACCTGCCAATGATGGCGAGCAAATTAGGTCTTCAAATGTTTTTGTTTGCCTTTCAAATACTGTTAAATTTGTGGTCGACATCATCAGTATCTACTTTTCTTTGGATGTAACAGAGATATTTCGCCTTCACGACAACTTCACATCCACTGTGGCTTAAATCTCATCTTTTAATGATGCATATATATACTCAAGCGTTTAAACGGTATCATTTACCCAATCTGAAATGCGCAAACGATCACAAGAGTCTTTTGTGTCACAGAACAAATTAAAATTTCCCCATAGGTCGACATGTGTAATTTGCATTAGTAACCATCCTAGAGGGGAATCAGTTGTTCAACGACAAGAAATCCTACGACAATTTATTCTGCCGTTATACCCTGAAAGGTCTCTAGATAGATCCAAGGGTGGAAATGTTGTTCAAAAGATCATAAATAATTCAAATATTCCTCCCACGGGAGACATTTTGTGAGCAAATTATTTCTTGTTGTGTAATTTTGCTACTGAACAATGCTGTTTGTCGTAGTTACCTGTTTATCAAATTTGTAAACGACATATTGGATATGGCATCGTATAACAGGGACAAATTTATACCCCCTGTGACAATTGTTTCAAAACATGTGGTGGAAAAAAAATCAGTGTATGACTAAGTAAAACGTTCACTGAAAGCTATTGACAGATTACGAAGTGCTTATGCCAACGCTGTGATCTCGGCGCTTGTCAGAATTATGATTAAATGCATGCGGCAAGCTGAAAAACAAAAAGGTTGCAGCGCAGATGTGTCTCGGTCAGGAAGCAGTTTGAAGACTTCGTTTGAATGAATCTATTGTCACCAGCACCATGTTATTTAAGCCAAGGTTTTGTTTTGTTTTGTTTTTTTTCGAACTATCACAGTAGCCTTTATTCTACAATACGGTCTCGCTACGGAATAAAATATTCAATCATTTCATAAGTGTAAAGCATAAAGCTACAAATATTGTTTGCTCTATAAACTATTAAGGTAAATTAATCTTTTTTGTTGAGTCATTATTTGATTGCAAAACATTACCGTGGTAACGATTAAAGTTGTTATGTATACGACAGGTGATTCCTTTTTCGTAATAAGTGGCTCCACTATTGACTCGAAGAAAATATATGTGGTAGTGACTTGTGTCTTGCATCACAGCTTTATTATTATTATTATTATTATTATTATTTATTTATTTATTTTTTTGGACAGCTTACTGAGTGATAACATAGCCTGTTTCGAGGCGTTCATATTGTAAAACGAAGTGCACAGTAAACGGTACGATAGTCACGGCTGAGCCGAAAAGAAAAAGTGAGGCTTGGGTCGAGTCGAGTAAAGAACGGCGTTCACCCGACCCGACCCAACCCGATCCGACCCAACCCCATTCTTCCCCGTTTTTTCACTTTATCGCTGCTATCGTGCAGTGTACCATTTGCTCCGTTTTACCAAATAAACGCCTAGAAAAGGTTAGTGATAACAACAGCAACTAAATATGAGTTCTGCTTAATAGCCTGGGACATCCTTCATCATTTCATCACATCCTGTTTAAAGATCAGGTTCAGCTTGGCTTGCCTGGCTTAGCTCATGACTCAGCAAGACAAAGTAGATTTATTTAAGTTTTATTTGTCTATGAGATATACCTTTATTTATGGCAACGGTAATTTCCTCATATTGTTTACTGATCTAAAATTCGCATACAACCTGTTATTCATCCCGTGATATTCGTAACGGTTCTGAGCACGGAAGGGAAGCGTTAAAGGGCACCACATAAAAGAGTTTCGAGCGTAGTAGTTTTTAAAACAAAGTCCTATTCCTTCCATTATACTTATTCTTTCTTCAGAACTTTAAAGACATGAATAATCTTTTGACCATCAGATGGAATTCAAGCGCGGAAATGGTCCTTGCGGTGGTGAGCTGTCATACAAATCTTTTAATTAGGAGCAGTGGTAGGTGTTCAAGAGCGCGTGTTAGCAGCTTTTTTGCTCAATTGTCGTTAAAATGACAGAATGTTTTCTCATAAGACCAGCTGCGTATACAAGGCTTATGATCGAGTCACTACATGTTCTTGAATATTCGAATTTGGTGATAAAAGAGCTTTCAAAATTACTTGATCAAAGAAATCTATGGATAACCTTCTGAGGACTACAATTTTGCACTCGATACACATTTTTAATTCATGCACATAACGGAGATATTTTCTCTAGTTCAGTACCGTGCACAAATTTACCATCTATTTTCTACATGTATAATATCAAAAAAACTGGATGATATAGTGAAATCAAATACCAAGTTAGAGCGTAGTAGTTTTTAAAACAACGTCCTATTCCTATTATTTTTGTTTTCAGAACTTTAATGATATAAATAATTTTTTGACCATCAGATGGAATTCAAGCGCGGAAATAATCCTTGCAGTGGTGAGCTGTCATACAAATCTTCAAAATTACTTGCTCAAAGAAATTTATGGATAACCCTTTGAGGGCTACAATTTTGTACTCGGTAAACAGTCTTAACTGATGCAGATAACAGACTGATAAACAGCTAGTCTTATCAACCATGTTAGAGTCTTGGCTCTATTTCTTATTATAATATGATTTCTGTCATAATTTGCAAACTTGCTCTCCGGCAAACGATTGGTCTCAAACGATAAATCTATAAGTGAAAATAGTGATAATCAACTCATTTTCTAAGAATTGACTTCAAAATATTTAAACAGATGAAAACAAAGTCGACTTATTTTTGTTATGAGCGAATCTAGTCCGTGGCTACTGTTACAATCCGTAAACACTTAACCGTGTATCTAAGCCAAAGTGACACATCTCATTCAATTTTGAAAAAACAGCAAAATCGTCAGCGCATTCTGCTTGAAAAGAATAGTCTCCACTGCTTCATTATAGGTGTGTGCATTCGGCATGTGATATTCCTGTGATATATTTTATTACTAAACTAATGTTTTACCTTTTAGTTGTTCTTAAGATAACTTGAATATAAAAGTGAGAAGTGACTCTTTATGGTTTTCCCCACTCTTCTATATTAAATGGTATATCCTCATCTCTCTTTTAACAAACATGATTGTTAAATAGCTTTGGAAGAAACATGTCAACGTCGAAATGGGTCGAAACCTATGTAAGGCAAATTGTTTGTCTGATTGTCTGCTTTACTGCTTGTCTCATATCTTTGATCTTCCAATGGTAAAGAAACGGGTTTAAAGTGGAGTTGAGAAAAACTAAAACATTCGCCATTATGGCAAATGATTATTATGATTATGATAAATTAGATAATCGGTTTAAACTCAAAGATATTCACAATTTGCGCTGTTAAGTTTGGTACATAAAAAACAGCTAAGGCTAACTGTAACCAAAGTGCATCGCATATAATTTATGCAAACTTAGGACGCCGTGAATTATCTTAGTTTCGTTGTAAACAGTATGGCTAATTCCCAGTTATAACAAAATTAAGCGGCCGGCTATTTTCAAAGCTCGTTATCACTAAACCATATTTCTGAGCAAAAGTGGCATATCTGATCAAAATTTGATCACAAAGAAAAATTCTGAGCGTATTCTAAATCCAAAATAACTGATAGCCTTCACCTCTTCACTACAAATTCGGAAACTGGAGACGTAATACTGTTTTTAATTTTTTTTTTCAATTTTTAAACGCCTTCTATCTGAGCAAAATTTGATCGCAAAGAAAAATTCTGAGCACATTCTAAATCCAAAATAATTGATAGCCTTCACTTCTTCACTACAAATTCGGGAATTGGAGACGTAATATTGTTTTGTTAAACTATACTTTCTCGCCTTTTCGTTGTTCGTTAGATAACTCGAATACAATGTACTACTTATTTCATATTTTTCCTTACCCTTTTTCATTACCTTCCCCTCTCTCCTAACGTCTAGAATTCTTTCAAAAAATCTACATTAGAAAATTTACATGCCAACGTTAAAATAGGTCTACTCCTATGCATAGCAGATTGCTTGTCTGATTGTTTGCTTTACTGCTCGTCTCACTTCACTTATCTTCCAGCAGTAAAGGAACGGGTTTAAAGTAGAGTTAAAGAACACTAACACATTTGCCATTCCCCTGATTACCATGAAATTCGATAATCCCTTTGATATCACAATTTCCACTGTCATGTTTGGTACATAACAGACAACTAATACTAACTGCACCCACAGTGCACTGTACACTGCCTTTCTGTATCGCGCCATAATCAGTGCATTTGGTTGGCTCGGCTGTTGTTGAGCATAATCTTGTATTTGAGCCTGATGATGACTGATTGCGCGAAAAATCTTTGTGTACGAGGCGATTGATATAACTATGCATAACGGTGCACCTGTAACACTGAACCAAAAAGTTATACGGTTATTAAGATGAAAGAAAAAGCCAGAGACTAGAGATACAATCCAAAAGATAGCTAAAATGTTGTATGTGCGCCTCAAAGTTACAATCTCTTTGTATCTCAGTCCCAACAACATGGCGAGAAGTCGGTCCACGCTTATGGTCGTCAGCGTCAACATGGAAACTGTACATAACGCATAGCCTGTTACGCCGGTTGCGTAAAATGAGAATTGGCAAATACTCCACTGTTCGTGAACCAAGGACATCCAATAGGCAGCATAGATAGGTTGGGTAATAAGACCTACCAAGAGATCAGTTGTTGCCAGACAACGATACAAGAGTTTGGATGGCGGATGGAGGGAAGATTCCTTGTGAAGGGCAACAAGGATAAGAGAATTCCCGAGAATTGCTGTAATCGAGAGGAGAATGTTGACTGCTGAGAATGAAATGGACTGCTGTTTAAACTCACCTAACCAAATTGGGGAACATAGCGATCGGTCAAATGTTTGCGTAAGTGTTCCTCTTCCCGTTATATTTGTTGTCGCCATCATCTTCTTGTCATTATCCTTATAATTAGTTACAACGAGGGATATTTCGTCTTAACAGCATCCTCCAAGTCAAGATCAATTAAACCTTAGTTTTTGAATAACAATTACACAGAGTAAAAACTTATCACTGGCATCAGACTATGTAAAATGCCCGAAAGCTGTGAGGTTTGTCACAAGAAAGATGAAAATAGGTG